GCAGACATCTGTCCTGGCTGAGGAGGCTCTGCGTCTTCATCCCGGACCCTGCCCTCCCAATGCTTCCTGAGCCTTGCTAAATTGGACAGGCTGCGCCCCAATCTGAGAGCTTCCTGCCTCAGCCTCCCAGAGTGCTGGGATCAGAGGTGTATGCCCCTGCCAGGCTGCGTGCTGCTTTCGGAGGCCTTTGTTGTCGTGCACGTAGGCGTGGCCTTCACAGTGCTACAGCACTCTCACTCTGCCCCTCCGCTTGTCCCGAGACAGTAGTTCCCACGTGGAGCCAGGAGGGGTGGCGTGGAGAGGGAGGACCTCCAGCTGCGGCTGCGCAGAAAGCGTTAGGAGTATTTGTACTCTTCCTTTCAGGGACAGTGAACCCTTAAAAGGCTCCTCTAGCCCCTCTACTCTTTCTCTATAGCCTGGGCTGACCTCGATCTCACAGCGATCCTCCTGCCTCAGCCTCTCAAGTGCTGGGACTACAGGCCCAGCTCCACAGCGCTTCTAATGTGCAGCCCTGATCCAGGGGAAGCGGACACCCCGCAGGCAAAGCTGAGGCCAGGAGCCAGGGACAGCCCCGCGGAAGGCCCCGGGGACCCAAGCCCCACAGAGGTGGGCTTCGCGCTGTTCCCTGCAAGCGCACCCTCGCCCAAAGCTCGTGGGTGGCCAAGACCCGCAGTCCAGTCCAGGGGTCTCAGGAGGCCCCGGCGGCCCCCACGCAAGGTTCCCAAAGCGCTCCGCGCGGACGCTGGGAGCAATTTTCTCTCTCGGACGTATTTTTCCCTTGAAGGAGCAGGAAGAGCAGAGTTGCTGGACTGGAAAGGAAAATATAGCTTAATTTAATCTCTTAACCAAAGCCACGCTGCACTTTTGTGGCTACAGAGTAGGAAATGGAGCTGCAGGTGGCAGATATTTACGGGGGGGGGCACGGGATTGAATCAGCCTTTGTATTGAGATGCAGCCCCGTGTTTTATTATTTATTTTGAGACAAGGTCTGGATAAGTTGTTCCAAATTGAGATCCTTCTGCCTCAGCCTCCCGAAGGTGGGACGTATGACTCTTAATAAGCAGAAAACCCAGATACAATTGTTTTGTAACAGAGCGCTGGCCACGACCTCCATAGATACAGCCTGCAGACCTGCTGCAAGCCGCAGCTCCTGTCACCGAAAGCCCTGGCATTACCTAAAACCCCAACAGTGGCTCCTGGAAAGGTGGGTTGCTCTTGTGTATTTTGTTTCTTTTTTACAGTTTACCTCTAATTTTCTCACACTGACCTGGGTAGGCCTGTTGTTCGAGCATTCTGGGAGGCTGAGGCAGGAGAGTTCAGAGTGTCTTTGGACCCCATAAGGGTACCATTTGCACAATGCTTTGCTCCCCCTGGCCTGGTCCCTCCCTTGGTGTCCCCAGGGCTGTTAGGGCCACAGGCCCAGCCCCTGCAGGAGGCTGGGCGGGGACCCCTGCACCACAGACTGCTGAGGAGAGGCTGTCCCTAATTGAGGGTTAACTGCGCTTCCTGCTAATCACATGCAGACCCCCCTTGAAAGGCCGAGGGTCCCCACCCCTGTCCAGCCCCCTGTGCCCACCAGGCTTCCGTACTATGGAACGCTACCTGCATGAGACCCTCCTGGAGTCCCGGCAGAGGGGGCTCCAGACCTCACTGGGGAGATGCCTGCCTGGCCTGCCCCTCTCTGCTCCAAGCAGAAACCAGGGGGATGGAGGAGATCCTAGAGGGCTGAATTAATGCCATGTGCCTGTCATCCCAGAATTTGGGTAGACTGAGGCAGGAGGATCCCAAGTTGAGCTCAGCCCAGGCAATTTAGATCCTGGCTACAAAATAGAAAGGGCTTTCAGGAGGCTGAGGCATGAGGATTGCGAGTTCAAGGCCAACTTGGGCAATCTAGAGATTAGTGAGTCCTTGTTTTAAAACAAAACTACACACATACAAAGAATTAAAAGGGCCGAGGGTGTAGCTCGGTGGGAAGGCCCAAGGTTCAACCCCACTACAGCAATCCATCACCAGCCAATAACCAGGAGAGTCCCGAGCCAGTCACCCAGGTAAGGAGGGCAGAAATAGCGCTGCGGAGAAGCCCTGCGTGCCAGGGACAGCCAGGAGGTCACTGGCAGTGGTCGCTCCATCCGCCAACACTCGAAGTCCAGGGCCTCAGGGAACCAAGAGTGGAACCCCAGGCCTTCACACTGAGCGACATCCTCAGCCTTTATGGTAAAAAATGTCGAGCCAGGGTCTCACTGAGTCACCAAGTTGCTCAGGTAGGACTGGAATTTTCGATCTTCCCGCCTCAGCCTCCCACACAGCTGGGCTCTCATGCCACCATACCTGGCTGTAAATTCAGATTTCAACCCTGCCCTGCTCCCCGCAGAGACTGTACCTAACCATAGCTCGAGCGGATTCCAGTCTCACCCTTGTTTAAATTCCCTGTTCATTCACGCTTTTTGCTAAAGAAAAGTGGCTCGTGTGGCCCAGGCACAAGCCAGGCCGTTAGATGTGTTAGCATTTCCTATTTAACTTTGAGGAAGTAAATGAAACATTGGATTCCTCACTGTTTCCCTTGCTCCTGATGATAGGGCCATGTGCCCGGTCCATTTGCACAAATGCAGTCCTGCTGGCTGGCTTGAACAGTCAGTCCTGTCTTTGCATTGGTAATAGTCACTCAACAAACACTGTGGAGCAGCTGTGATTACCACAGCCTTGATCCAGGGACAGCAGGACAACCCTAGTGTCTGGAGAGGAGTTTGTGGCCCAGGGAATGAGATAAAAGTCTATAAAAGACTTCCTGCCTGGAATCCTAGCGCTCCAGGAGGCTGAAGCAGGAGGATCCTAACTTGAGCCCAGCACCCACCCTAGCAGCTCAGTGAGAGACTCTCTCAAAATTAAAAAAAATAATAATAATAATTTTTAAAAAGCCTGGGGATGTAGGTCTGTGCGAGGGGCCTGGATTCAATTCCACTCTGGAAAAAAAGTGCCAGCACACTTGAGCCTCATAAGGACCTGGTGTTCAGACACAGACGCGTTTCAGAGGGAAGGGGGTTAGCAGGGCTCCCAGGCTCCCACCCGGGTACCACGAGGCACTCATACACCGTCCACACTGCTGGAACCTGGGCTTGTGGCCGCCGGCCCACCCTGGCTACGGGTGGAAGTGATTTCCTCTTTTGCTTTGCTTCTTTCTGAGGCAGGGTCTCACTCAGTAGCTAGCCTTAACTCCCGGCCATTCTCCTGCCTCAGCCTCCTGCACGGTGGAAACCATGAGGCAGCTTCACATCCGGTCCCCTGAGGTCTTCTGCACACCTGGAACCTGCCCCTGCGGGTTCCTCCAACAGTGCTGGCTCTGTCCATGCCCGGCTCCGTCTCACCACAGTCAAAGCCTCTGCCAGAAACCAGATTGGGCTTCGAGGACCCAGGCACTCTGAGAACCTGAGGTCCCTTTGCCCCTCTGTGGCCCAGGGAAACAGGGTGGAGAAGCTGAGGCTGGAGGCCCGCAACCTGCTAACGGCACGCAAAAGCACCATCGCAGGGCTCACCCCTATAATCCTAGCACTCCAGGAGGCTGAGGCAGGAGGATCACAACTTTGAGGCTACATAGTGAGTTCAAGGCCAGCCTGCACTACATGGCAAGGCTCAAAAAGCAGGACAAACAAAAAAAATGTTCCAGCCTGCAATCTGGGGACTGGAAGGGACATCAAAGGGCAGCTACTTGGCCCATCAGACGCTGCGGAAGTGCCACTAAGGACCTCGGGCTCGAGTCTCCACCAACCAGGCCGGACCACTGGGCCTGGTCTCCATTGCTCCCTGGGGAGGCCAGGCAGGCAAAGGTGACTGTGGGCCATTTTCTCCAGTGGATCAAATGAAACCCCACAGAAGTCACCAAGCACAAGCAGCCTGCCACCCAAAGACACGGATTCTGTATGCGCCCTGTAGGCTGAGGAGGCAGGGCGATCTCTCCCACCCAGACAGGGAGCTCACGTCTCCATGGGCGACCAGCCCCGCCCCTGATGGGACAAGACGGGGAAGCAGAGCCTCTGCCTGCAAGGGCCTTAGGTCTGGGGCAGCTTAGTGAACAGTACAGGGTTCACTGAAGGGAGGGGTGGGTCGTTCTTTATTCGCTGACGCTTCTTCACCCACAGTTCTGCACCAGGCGTGCATGGAGCTGTGGGCCTGCAATCCCTGCACTCTAGCAAGCTGAGGCAGGAGGCTTGCACTCGAGCTCAGACTGAAAGGGCAGGCGCTAGGTTCAAGCTTCCGTACAGGAACATTTCAGAACTATTTGGCATGAGACAAATATTAGCAATGTCACATACCCAGCATCCCAGCTTTCACTTTAATGCAGGCTCACAAATAACAGAAGTGCCTGAAGGCCCATCATGGTAACACACACCTGTCGAGCCAGCACTCAGGAGGCTGAGGCAGGCCAATCCTTGCGAACCTGGGCTTCACGGCGAACCTGGGCTGGTTCAAGACCAGCTGAAACGGCAGAATCCCCCAAGCTCAGCCCATTACCTCCAGCCAGGGTGGTACAAATGTCAAGAAGTCCCGTGCATGGCCATGCAGTGACACGCACTTGCAATCCCAGGACTCAGGCAGCTGAGGCAGGAGGATCCCTGAGTTCGAGGCCAGCCTGGGCTATGCATCGAGACGCTGTCTCACAAAACAAAAGCCACACGGGCCAGGGATTTAGCTCAGGGGTTCCACCACCCGCCTCGAAAGTGCAAGGACCCGAGTTCGATCCCCAGTACCAAAAAAAAAAAAAAAAAAAAAAAAACCCACAAAGTCCCAGTGGACACAGCACTCCCTCTGAAGGATTACATTTGAGTTGTGTCATTTAATTGCTATTTATTTCCATAAACATGAGGTATTTCAAAGTGCTATAAGATGCAGCACTAAATATATACATTTTGAAGAAATTCAACACAGAACTTTGCAATTTACCCAGTTCTATGCACCAAACATGAACAAATACATTAACAGGAAAAAAAACAAAACAACAAGGGGGGGGAAAATAAAAAACAGGCTAGGAAAAGGCATATATATATAGTAAATTTCTTTACAAAAGTTTCTTAGTTCAAAAAGTGATAAAGTAATATCTACTCAAAACTTTCACAACTCATTTTCATACGAAAATATAAGTATCAAATTTAGTTATATATCAGCGTCATACGAAAGTACACGGGCAGTGTAGGGATTAGTACAGCATGGAACGGAGAGTAACAACAGCTTCGTATACAAAACATGCTCCTCAAACATTGAGGTATTAGTACTCGGCGGGAACTTCCGGCCGCCAGAGCCGCCTCGCTACCCAGGACAAAGGCGGTGTCCTCCATGGTATTTACACAAACGTCCCGGGGCGCGCAACGCCCAGCCTGGATCACAGCATTGGATGGTGGCACCTGTCCGTCCGTCCGTCTGTCCGTCCATCCGTCCATCCGGCGGCTGGAGTTGAAGCACCATTGTAAAAAAGAAGGAACGAAACTTGGAAGGAACCACGGTTACAGCCCCAGACCGGGGCTCCCGATGGTCAGGACGTCGCAGCTGCATGGGGATGAAAAACAGCAGAGGAGGCTCCAAAGCCACCTAGCATCCGGGAGAGAGAGCTCCTGGACATACTGCAGAACCCCACAGGTCCTGCCCTCACCCAGATCCAAACTGGAAAGGAGGCCAGTTGGAGACAGTAAACCAACATTCTTAATGTCAACACAATGTTTAAAAAGTAAAAGTTCCAAATGTGCAAAACGTGGCAGTGAGCGTGCGTCCGTCAGAGGGACGCCTAACAAGTCCTGGCCAGCTCGACCCTCTTCAGCAGTTGCTGCTGCCGGGCCTGCAGCGCCTCCTTCTCGCGCAGCAGCTGCTGCTCCTCGGCCTGCAGGGCGCGCACGTACTCGGTGGCCTTCTTCAGGATGACCACCTTGGCGGCCTTGTCGTTGCGCACCAGCTCGGGCACGTGGTCCCTGAGCGTCAGGAAGCTGGAGCGCAGGTCATTGCGGCGCTGACGCTCCAGGATGTTGTGGTTGCGGCGGCGCTCGCTGTCCTCCGAGTCCGAGTTCCGCGGGCTGGCGCTCTTGGGCTTGGCGGGGACGGTGCCCCGCAGGGGCCGCAGCGCCGCCTCGCTCTTGGGCTTCTTCTGGGGCGGCGGCTCCTCAGTCTCCACGCAGGGCGAGGGCGCGGCGTAGTTGTGCTGCTGGTGGATGGGGACACAGCGCTTGAGGCTCAGCGCGCCAGGGGCCGCGCTCCGGGGCCGCACAGTGACGGTGAAGGCGGTGACCGCCCTGCTGCTGGACGGGCACCGCCGCTTCTCCACGGTGACCACGTCGATCTCCTCCTCCCCCTCTTCCTCCTCCTCCTCCTCGTCATCTTGGGGAAAAGCAGGGCGTTAGTCTCCATCGCAATTTTTCTGCATGGGCACTCCGGAGCCGCGACCGACAGACCGACTCATTAGACCTTGTTAAATGAGCACCTATATGAGCCGCGCGGTGGCAGGACACACCTGTCATGCCAGCACTCAGGATGCTGAGGCAGGAGGGTCCCTGTGAGGCCAGCCTGCACTACATAGCAAGATCCTGTCTCAGAAGGAGAAAAAAAAAAAGCCACCATTATCACCGACAACAAAACACTTAAAAATATAAATAAAAAGTAAATATTTACAGAAATGTTTTACTGCCTCAGCCCCTGACAATACTTCGACCCCAGGGCTTTAGCAGTGGGGCTAGGGCTGTAGCTCAGTGGTAAAGCCACACTTGCTGGCACCTGTGAGGCTCACCCCCCAGGGCTGCAAAATGAAAAAACAAAACACAAAAACTTTTAGCAGGTGGCAGAAATCGAAGGCACCTGGCGACCACGGCTGGAGCTGACAAAGTGCTCAACTTTTCTGCTCCTCAGTTTCCCCAAATCCAAGAGGCTTAAGTAACTGCGCAGCTTGGTGTGGTGGTGCACGCCTGTCATCCCAGCACTCAAGAGGCTGAGGCAGGAGGATCGCCAGGAGTTTGCGACCAACCTGGGATTACGTACAGATGCTGTTTCCAAACACCCCCCCCCCCGGGATATAGCTCAGTGACACCGTGCCTGCTTTGCAAGCCAAGGTCCTGAGTTCAATCCCCAGTATGCGTTGGGGGTGAACCCCCCCCCCCCAGATCGCCGTCAGGAAACCATAAGAAGGAGCCTCCTTGTTTTGGGAGCCTTGTTTGGTAAAATACATAACCAAGTCGCCTTTCTGTCCTAAACTGGGGGGCCATTTCATTCACCAGGGAAGAGAAGCCAGTTTTCTCCCAGGCATCACACGCGTCCCAACCCAACCCCCGGTGCTCTTCCCTCGGAAGACAAGGCCACCGCCCACAGCCGCGAGGCGCCTTGGTCACCAGGGATTCCCAGGAGGCCCGCTGCCCGCCCTCCTTCCCCATGGGCCTCCGGGGTCAAAAAACGTCCAAAACACAAGCGTGAAAATCAAAACACACCCAGCGCTGCGTCTGACGGGTGGGAAGCGGAACAATTGTGGGGCTTGTTCTAAAGCCAAAATGCGAGGCTGCTCCAGTCGGCCGGGCCCTTTAAGCCTGGGCTTTGGTTTTCTGCCAAGAAGACAGCTGTTGGAAGTAAACGCTTCCTCACCTCGAGCTGTCAGGGCGCAGACGTTAAAGGGACAGAGCCCCGCAGCCTCCGCTCCTCTCCGAGTTTCCTCCGGGAGCCCCGACCGGCAGAGCCCGCAGGAAACCCGGGCTTTTTATCCACACACATTGTGGGAATAGCAGTTGTCAAGGTCCAAGGACAACAGCGGCTCGCAGGAGTCGGAAGCCGTCCTCACCTCCAGACCTCCGGCAAAGGCTTGGTTTTTAACCCTTGCTTTCCACCGACAAACGCACACAATGGAGCTCCTAGAGCAGCCCTTCCAGGGTGCCTGCATTCTTAAAGGGGCTGCCGGGGGCTGTGCGCCCTCACCTCCCAAAGCCTCAGATCTCCAACCAGGCCAGGAATTAGGGCCACAACTCAACCGGATCGCTGGAAAGAGGCGGCCCCTGGAGAATGCGCACGACCGCTGGCGCAGTGGCAGCCAGCTGCGGGACGAGAGGGAGCAAGCTAAGGAGGGATTGTGCCCCGCCTGCCAGCCCGAGGCTGGCCCGGCTCCTGCGCGGAGTAAACAGCCCACCACCCACGGAGGGCGGGGGAGGGGCGCGCCCACGCTCCCAAAAAGGAAAAATCCGGCAGCCGCAATCTGTGCCGTCTCCCCAACTTCCTGCGCCCTGAATAGGAGCTGCACAGCCCTGGTCTTTCGGGGGTGCCTTCCCCCTTCTCCGACCTGCGCCCGAGGCCCTTTCCACGGTCGCTCACAGGCCCGTGCCCCGGGTGGGGGTCAGGCTGAGGCCCTGAGCAAGGTTCCCTGAAGCTGGGGAGCAGACGCGCGAGACAGGGACCTCCGGGCCACCAGCGTAGTGCGCCCGGAGCCAACAAAGGCCTGGAGAGCCGTGCGGGGTACGCGTCCAGGCTTACCCGAGTCGCTCAGCGTGTCTTCACCGGAGGTGCTGGGCGTCGCCGTGGGGTTCGCGCGGACTCCGGAGCTCGGGGAGG